TGGAAAAGGCAGGAGTATTTGAACAGGCAAATTATGTCTTAGTGTTATTATGTAAATAGTTTTGACCTAGCAGACCACCTGAAAGGGAAGACTACATTTTAAGAACTACAGCTCTTAAACTTTACAGTGGACTGATTTCACTTCCTGACTCTTTGAACTCTGCTTCAGTAGGCTATCTTTCACTTCTCACTCCCTAGTTGTCTACTCTTTTCTCAGCTGAGACTAACACAAATTTGTCTTTTGGTAATTAGGACCAAGACAGACCCAGTGGATGGATAGGTATGCATTTTTGCACACATATGCACACACACACACACACATGCATATACATACAAACATACATATGCTAGAATAGAATGAAATGCTTGTAGGTCATTCAGCAGTTATCATACAAAAGCAATTTGTTTGGCCATGACAAAGATACGCATCAGCCACTTCACAAGGATATAATTATAAATTGAGAACAAAGCGTATATTAACTCCATCAAAATCTTGCTTAAGTGACTCAGGAAAGGTCACATAGATAGTTAATGGGAAAGTATTCTTGAATCACTTGAAACCTAGGTCAAATGTCCTTTGGTATTAGAACATTTCAAGAGCATTTTGGTAGCATGGAATAATTTGATCTAAACTTAGATTAATAGAAGTATAATGTTCAGAGCAAGTAAGGAGATCATCCTTGATCAGACTGCATTTTGAGTACTGTGACTAGATCTGCCTGGCACATTTTAGAAAGGGAATTAAGAACTTGTCCAAATTACTAGTTTTTTGTTGGTCCTTGAAGAGGACCAAGATGACATCACGACTGACTGAGAAGATCAATCCAAGCTCAAAAGGCTATACCACAGATCAAACGTAAATAGTCCATTTGAAGATTTGGGATGGAGATATTTCTAGATGTGCACATCTCATGTTTCTTTTGAGCTACTGCTATTCTGCTTTGCTTATAGAGCATAGCACTTTCTTTGATGTGGGCATTCCATGCCGGTCAGTCCTACTCTACCAGCTCCATGTTTCACAATCAATATTAAAGTTCTTCAAAGAGACCTTGAGATTCTCTTCCACTGTATGCTAAATCAATTGTGACTAGTAATGACTAGAAACAATGCTGTTCAAAGCTCACTTTTTTTTTAAGACAGTTGGGGTTAAGTGACTTGCTCAGGGTCACACAGCTAGTGTCAAGTGTTTGGTCTGAGACCCGATTTGAACTCAGGTACTTCTGACTTCAGGGCCGGTGCTCTATTCACTGCGCCACCTAGCTGCTCCCTGTTCAAAGCTCACTTAAAGGAACTTTAAGCTGTGTTTAGTCTTCAGAAAAGAAAGCTTAGTTCGATCATCATATCATTCTTTAAATACAGAAAGAAAGGGAGGGAGGGGAGAGAGAGAGAGAGAGAGAGAGAGAGAGAGAGAGAGAGAGAGAGAGAGTTTATTAATAGTTTATTAAGCATTTACTATATGTCAGGCACTGTGCTAAGTACTGAAGATACAGATACTACCAGCAAGACAGTTCCTGTCCTCAAAGGGCTTTCTAATGGGAGAAGGATAGTTAGGGAGTGGCATGGAGGCCCATTACTGGATAGCTAAAGTCAAAAGAGCCCTGGCTATTAGAGGTAGGGCAGGAAGTGATAACAATGATTGCTGGAGTGAAGGCAATGTGATATGGCAGTGGCTTGGAAATGATGGGGAATTCTGTATCATACTGGGTCATAACCATTTCGCAGATAAGAAAACCAAAGCTGAAAAAGATTGTGATATGTCCATGGTCATATAGCTGCTAAGTATCTGAGGCCATATTTAGACTCACATCTTTCTGACTCTAAGCCCAACATTCTCTCTACTGTTCCACCTAGGTGGTTCTGGGAAAGGTAAGGGAAAAGGTCACCTATGAGAGTATTTGAGAATAACATGAGAAAAAGTAGTCTGCTTTACTCTGGAGGATAGAAATTAGTTTTAGTGGGTGGAAGTTACAAGAGAATAAGGAAAAGTAAACTTCATCATACCATTAGTTATGAGGGAATAAGTAGGATAAAGTTCACCATGAAGATAAACTATATTTCTTAGACGCAAGATCCTAGAATTATATTTTAGATCACAGCCAGGTGGAGGTGGAGGAGATGGTGTTCTCTCCCTCAAAGGAGGGACCTCAAGTGGATCAGGTTCAGTCCTAAAGAAACCTGAACTTTAAAAAACACCCCCACCACCCATACTCTGGCTCATCAATCCCCACCCTAGAGTAAAACTTGGGAAAATCTAATCAACAAAACTTGGTTATGATTCCTGTGTCAGATCCCCCCAAAAGAGATTTACAGGGTACTTTCTAGAAAGGTGGTAGATATGCAGAATTGATCAGGTACATGACAGTTACTTATTGTCTCCCCCTGCTTCCCTCAGACACATTCAAAATGCTCAAAACAGGAAAAAAAACTCAATAAGCATGCTTTGACAAATATTTGACATATGAAACAATAATCCTTAATTCTCATTTACTCTCCTCAGAGGTTGGTAATTAAAATATTTAAACATGATACTGTTAAATACATGTCACTTTCATGTCAGATCTGTACTATTTAAATAACTTGTCAAAGTCCCTGCTTTCTAGGGACTTTGGCTTTATTTTTCTTAATCCTTTCACTTGGTGAAATGAAAAGGTTGAACTTTAAGGTCTTTTCCAGTTCTAAATCTATGTGTAGCAAGCAGATTGATACCTGGTGCTTGAAACCAAGATCTCCTGATACTTTGGATTCACAAGTTTGCTGTGGAGTCTAGAAACACTATACAGTTGTCATTATGTTGTGGTCCAGGGGTGCTGGGAACCCTGAAATTCAAGGACAAAAGGTGTGGGTCAGCCTCGAAAGAAATTGCCTCAAGCATTCTTTCAGGCAGAGAAAAAGCTTATTAAGACACTGATTGGGGTGGGCAAGATTCCTAGTTAGTCTGAGCTTTTGGCCAGATTTTAAAAATTAGAGCAATTTAATGGGAGCAAGATGGACTTTTTAATATAGAAAGACTGTGGAAAGATCTGAATGTGATCTAGGAGTGGCCAAGTAGTCTGGGGTGACTGGGAGGTAACAGAGAAGGGGTCTAGATGGAATTAAGAGTGGGAAGTGGACAGGGGCTATCCAGAGGTAATAGACAATGAAGGGCTGGGATAGATTAGAGGTAACAGAGAATTGGAGATTGGGGTAGGGTCAAATCCAGCAGGACAGTTGAAAGGATTATACTGATATGAACCTCAGATGAACACCAGGGACCTGGGCCATGTGGGAAAGTCCAGGGCCTTTTAGGGCTCCATCATTAGTGCCTCATCAGTATGATCAGCTTTGCTCAGAAGAAGCACATGTGTGCACGTACACATACACAGACACACACAGACACACAGAGCAAGTTCAGGCTCATTTAGATAGGGACATGCTTTTTCTGCCATGTTCAAGCTGCTAGGCCAGGGGCAGAGGGGTGTTAGGGAAGGAATCCCACTTACCCTCCATTTCAAGAATATAGAGGAAAAAGACTTTAAAGAGGATAAAAGAGTAAATAATAGTAGAGATTGCTTGTACTTTTAAAAAATAATGAATAGGTGGCTCCTCCTGGGTCAGGGGCCAATCACCTTTGGCAAAACTCCCTGGCTCCATTGCAGGGACTAAGAGATCAACCAATAAAGGACCATTATTATACACGTGCACTTTAGCTAGAGGATAGAGCCCATGGGTGACCAGGTGTGGCCAGAGTGCATTCACAGAAACTACCACAGCCAAACTATGTGTCAGTAGAAATGGCTAGGGTACAAATTTATCTTCATATGTGTCTAGTGGGATGGCCCACATAGGCCCGTCCTAATACATACTACATGAGATATCCAACCTCCCTGATTTAAAACTGGAGAAGACCTTAAAGTTCAACCCTTTCATTTTATCAGGGAGGAAACTGAGGCACAGAAATAGGTTTCATGTCTTCCTAAGGTCACATAGATAAGTAGCAGCGAGAGGCCCTAATTTATGAACGTAGGTCATTTGATGACAAATCCATCATTTTTCCCATGTAATACTGTCTTGAATATATTAGATAAAATAAATATTTGTTAAACTGAATCAAACAGAATGAATTCAACTCCCTGCACATGTTTTACTTCATATATTTTTAAGCTTGCAAAACTTTTTCACTTTTCTTTATGCTTTTATCTCACTTTCTCTTGATCTGTTTAAAGATGATCAAATTTGCCATTAGAAAGCTAAATCTTCTAGAAAAAAAATTCATCCAGTATATTTCAAATGTATGCTTTGGGAATTATGCATTGCATTCAATTACCTGTGCCACAGTAATATTTAAATAGTATGGTTAATCAGAGTTCCATATAATTGTTTTTCAGGACAAGTAAACAAGCAGTTATGAAGTGTATGCTATGCCCCAGGCACTATGCTGCATTGGGAATACAAAAAAGAAAATACAAACAAAAAGACAGGCTCTGTCCTCAAGTTGCTTACATCCTAATAGGGTATAGACAGCATTTAAAAGGAAGGTGAAAAGGAGGATGGGAAAGGAAGAAAGATATCCATAGTGGCATGGTAATGAAAGTCTGGAGAGTTTTGGTTTTTTTTTTTTAAGAAATATAGAATGAATTCAGTAACCATGTTAAGTTCCTATTATGTGCAGAATATTATATGTACCTTCATTGATAACAAAGCTTCTTTTATTCCATAATTTAAAAATAAAATAAATAAATACGTATGTGTTGGGGGAAAATAACAAAGAACTATAAAATGTGTTTTTTTTTCTTTCCTCTTCAATTTCAAATAACAAAATTGTTCATTATTGCACATTACTTATGCTTCATGGGATACCCAACCTCACTGCTACAAATAGATTCAGAACTGGAGAAGACCTTAAAGTTCAACTTTTCATTTTACCAGGGAGGAAACTAAGGCACAGAAATAGGTTAAATGTCTTCAAAAGGTCACACAGACATAAATGATTTCCCTTTAATGCTATTTTCTGTACTTTTTCAGGTTGATCGTCAGCCCCAATTTATACAAGGCTATCGAGTCTTATATCGCCAGACATCAGGCCTCCAATCTCCATCAATGTGGCAAACCGTAGATGCTAAAGTGCCTACAGAACGCAGTGCTGTTCTAGTTAATCTGAAAAAAGGTGTGACTTACGAAATTAAAGTTCGGCCATATTTTAATGAATTTCAAGGAATGGACAGTGAATCAAAGTCAGCTCGTACTACTGAAGAAGGTCAGTATTGAAATTTAATATAAAATCTTACTAAGATCATAATAATGTCAATTTTTGGTTGTTTTTTTAATTCCTTTTTAATCATCTATACTTACAGTATTCTGCACATAGTAGATTTTTAAATTTTTAAATTTCCCTTTCCTTCATTTGCTTTGCGAAATGAAGACAAGTATCTTGTAATAACAACCTGTGAAAAATTGCTTAGTAAAGGTTAATTTTCATGAAGTTTGAATTTTTCTTATTCTTAGAGATTGAACATTTATTACAAGCTTATTAGGCTGAACTTATTTAGCTGGAATTTAACATTAGCCTTTTCTTCTCCCACTGGATGATTTTTTTCCCCACATCTCTTATAAATTGATTTTTGTTGTGTTTGTTTATTCATTTCATGGTATGGACTTTGTGAAAAATGTTGACTCTAGTACTGCCTCAAGTTATTCAGTTTCTGTATTCCTAAACTTAAATATAAAGAATATGCCTTACTTGCTGCCTCTGTTTCCTGACTATAAACCCTCTCCTCAATCTGCTACATCACTTCTATCCTTATCACTCTGCTGAAACTGTTTTTTCCGAAGATATCATGAAGTCTTAATTGCTAAATCCAGTGACCTTTTATTCATTGTTCTTATTAACTCCTCTACAGCGCTTATATCTGTTGACAATTCTCCAATTGATCCTCTCTCATTTCTTGATTTTTATGACCACTTTTTGTATTCTCTTGACTGATCTTTTTCAATCATCATTGCTAACTATGGGCATCTAGTAGGGTTCTGTCCTCAAGCATCTCTCTCTCTTTTTACAGTTTCAGACTTCAATAGCTTTCATTATTACTTCCATGCAAATCACTCCCAAATCTATAGCAATAGCCTCAACACTTCCACTGAAATCCAACTGCATTACTGTTAACTAAAAATTACCATGTTGTTTTATCAGTACCACAAATTCATTATGTTAAAAAAAGCTCATCTTTCCATCAAAACCTGTACCACCTCCTGGCTCTCCTCACTTAATGCTTGGCACTACTATTTATTCTCTTAGTCATTTTAGATAGGAAGGCTCCATTTCATTTTCATCTCTTCCATCTTCCTCATTCCCACATCTTTTCTCCACAAAATCTCTTACATTTATTTCCTCCTTACTACTTCCTTTATTTTCTCTCACCTAACCTGCTGTTACAGTTGCAAAATGATTTTCTTTTTCCTTTCTGTCCTCTTTCTAATCCATCCTCCACACAGTTGCCAAAATGATCTTCCTAATCACAGGTATGAACATATCATTTGCAATTCTTGTCACATACAAATTCTTTATTCTTGAGTTTAAGACCCTCCACAATTTGGTCCCAGCCTTTTTTTTTCCTAGTCTTATTATTGGTCCTTCTTTCATCCAGTCCTACTGCTGAGCTAGGGTCCAGCTCAGATGCCACCTCTTCCATGAAGGCTCCAGGATTTCTCAAGCAGAAGTAATCACACTGTCTTTCACTCTTCCCTTTTTTTATATTTGATAAGTCTTAGGCACATTTTTCTAACTTGGTCTAGAGGTAATTTGTCCACTTATCTCATCCCTATTTATTTTTCATCTCTCCCTGTACAGTGTCTTACTTAATACTTTAATATGTGAATGGATCTATCATCTAATTATTGTAGCTACTGGATATGGTGATGTCTTCTTGTATTTTGTTTCCCCATATATCCACCATGTAAGATCTACCAAATGTATTAGAGGCCTTCCTCTAGGTCTTTTTACATTTGTGGGGTACCAGAGAATGACCAGTTTGTATATCTGTTATCCCTTGGTTTCATCCTTATCCAATAACACATTTCCTGGATATGTCTTTTATGGGGCTTCTTGCTTACTGAGGCATCACTGATAACATGCATTATCAATTCCCTTTGATTCATCTATAGTTTTGATTCTTAAGAAATAATGGTGAACTCTTATTCACATCCATATATCACTCCTAAAAGAATATTGGTGTTTAAAGGTGGGATTTGGTGCTGAAGAGGAGTTTCAGACCATTTTAATTTCTCAAAAGCAGTCTTGCCCACTCTCTTCTTCCTTTTCAATTCTTTGATTCTCTGAAGAATTGCAGTGCCTATCCACTGTAGATGTACAAGTGAACTGATATACGGCCGTGTGTCATAGCACAGTCTTCATCCATTTGGATTTTCTTGCATGAGTTGTTTGGACATGCATTTCATTAAGAAGTACTTGTACTAATCTGAGGCTTGTTGCAATCAATAAAATTGCATTCACAAATAGGAACATCTAGAAAACTTCACCATCTCTAGGGACTCTATCTTCCAATTGTGAAGTGTCAAGCATTCTCCATGACCGAGGCAAACACCCTGGGCTAGCATAAATGATTCTGTTTTGTACCTCATTTGATACTGATATGGGATCACTGATCAGAGTTATGTCTATGGTTATACCTATCAAGGATTCTTGAATTATTTAAAAAAATGTTTTAATATTTAATATTTTATTTTCCCCCAATTACATGTAAAATAATTTTAACACCCTTTCTTTTCAACTTTTGCATACCAAATTCTCTCCATTAAGATGACAAGCAATTTGAGCTAAGTTATACATGTGTACTCATGCAAAACACATTTCCATGTAAATCATGCTGTGAAAGAAAACATAGACAAATCCCCCCCCAAAAAATGAGGTAAAGAAAAAGTATCTTTGATCTGCATTCAGTCTCTATCAATTCTTTTTCTAGAGATAGATAGTACCTTCCATCATAAATCCTTCAGAATTTTCTTGGATCACTGTACTGCTAATAAGAGCTAAATTATTCATCATAGATCATCATTCAATATTGTTGTTACTGGGTGCAATGTTCTCCTGGTTCTGCTTATTTCACTTTGCATCAGTTCATGTAAGTCTTCCAGGTTTTTTTGTGCTTATGATTTCTTCTCTCTCTCTCTCTCTCTCTCTCTCTCTCTCTCTCTCTCTCTCTCTCTCTCTCTCTCTCTCTTTTTAAAAGGCAATTGGTGTTAAGTGACTTGCCCGGGGTCACACAGCTAGTGTCAAGTTTTTGATCTCATGTCCTCCTGACTTTGGGGCCAGTGCTCTATCCACTGTGCCACCTAGCTGCCCCTGCTTATCATTTCTTCCAGCACAATAATATTCCATCACAGTCACATACAATAACTTGCCAGCCATTCCTCAATCGATAGTTCAGTTTCTATTTCTTTGCCACCACTAAAAGAAATGCTATAAATATTATTGTACACAGACCAATTCGCAGGAGGAGACTCCCCCCCATAAGGTAAAAATCCTTAGGAATTAACTCCTTGGAAGTTCATTCTTAATGTGATCATTCAGCACCTCCATTTTTTTCCTCATATACCTTCATGCTCTTGGCAGGAGCAATAGTTAACTCAGAAGCACATGAAAGCATCCATGAAGAGGTCCTTGCTACTTCTACAGAGACTCTGCCAGAATCATCTCTACCCCCTCTCCATCCCTCAAAGAGCAGGAAGCCTTGAATGTGTCCATATAGAGTCTGCCTTTTTACTTAGTTCTGACCCTAAGTTAAACACCTTCAAAGCTACAGAAACTCTGCCTGGAGCACGTTCCCCAATGTCTCATAACTCAGAAAAAAAGCAGCAGAGAGTGATTCAGCCCAGATCTAAGAAGTAAAGGCGACCCAAGAGAAGAATTAAGGCAGAGTACTAACCTAGTTCACAGAGTACCAGATAGATACTTTAAACAATCTGCTCTCAGAAGAGGAAATCAAACTACCTAAAAGGAACTACTAAAGGTGTTGAGGAGAAACCTATATAGATTTTTAGGAAAACTTGATGAAATTTTTAAAGAACAATTAATACCCCTACAAATTATTCTCAAAATTTAAGAAATAAAACACACTATCAAACTCTCTTTGTATGATAAATATAGTCCCAATATGGGACAGATATGACTAAACAACCACAAAAAAAGTTGGGAGATGAGGATTGCAAGAATACATTGAAAATGTAGGTAGGAAAACAATGGATGTCAATAAAAATATTTTTAAAAGAAATAAATGATTGCAGTTTAAAGGTCAAATGCTTTTTAAAAGATAACAATAAAGTGTGATCATGTATTCTATAAACCTTTTAGTCAGTTTTGTGATTAAAGATGGCCTTTACTGTTAGAAAGTTATTTTTGAATCCTTTACCTATTCCTTTATTATATTTTCCTCTAAGATACTCTCCATATGTGAGCTGTTCATTCTCATAAAGATTTTATTCTGTTGAAAAAGTAGGTTTTGGAGTGATTAGTTATTAGTGTACTCTTGGCTGCCTTTTGAGGCCAATGATTCTAAAAATGCTTTTGATTAATAACAATAATTATTAAAAAATAGATAGAGGATGAATGAAGTGTTTGTTGAATTGATTTGAATTGAAAATCAGGAGTCAGAAATAGGAGGGAGATTATGGAGCATGGAGTAAGTAAGCACTGTCTTTTCCTTGCTAGTTTATTTATAAAGAATATTAAGGAATGACATTTCTTTTTTTTGTAGTGAATAATTCAGCATGGTCTGCCAAGTAATTTCCTACATTAATGGCAACTTGATTTTATTCAATGAATTTCTGCTGAGTGAGTTTTTTAAAACATTCTTTACCTATACATAGCTTAAAGATAACATATGATCTGCATATAGATTAAGGTAGTAAAGTGATGTTGCCAGTCAGATATTTTTCCTCCATATTATTTATTCACTTTAAAAAACTTTCTTGAATATGACAAATAGGAAAACATTCTGTAAGCCATTTTGATACAAAATGAGATGATTTGCTGTAAATAAATAATCACTGGATTATCCATCCTTTCCCTAATTACATAGTTCACCAAACATTTCAAAAGAGTTTTTAAAATAATTTTAATGAGTTAGAGACAGACATTTTAGGAATAGTATTTTTTGTGATTGAAGCATATAGATATATTTATTACTTATCAATGTAGCCATATATACATGACTATTTTTAGAAATCCACCCTTTAAAAGAATTACTAGATTTTTTTATATTATATATGTCCAAATAAAATAAATATTCCAGAATAGTGAGAAGATAAACTTTATCAACCACTGATTCATTTAGCTTTTGCAGTAAAGGAAGCTTGCTCGGCAGTAAATTGGGGTGGGGGAATGGAAACTAATCCTTTATCTAGTTTTAATTTAATATGGAATGCTACATTTGAGGACTACTCCCAAAATCAATTTCTCCTTAGTTGGACTTCTCCTCTAGATCAGGCATTTGTCACAATTCAGTATCTATTCATCCTCTCCCTCTTTCGCCTTTCGAAGGTAACAAATAGAATTCAGTGGGGTTGTATCTGGAAAAAATGAGCAGTGATTTGGGTTCCTTCTCACCCCTAAAAAGAAGCTTGAGCATTGTAATAATTGACCTGTCATGAGGCAGACATGGTGTTCTCTACAAACAGACATCAAGGGAAATGAGAAACACCTTTTAAAAATGTTATTTTTCAGGGTGGTGTATTTAATAACTATGGGACTGCCAGATAAGTGGTTGAATTTATAGCATGGTGCCAGATTTCTGAGAGAGATTCTCACATAGGAGAAAAGCAGAAAGCACTGTGTTATGATCCTATTAGGCCATATGCCAGTGAATGCATGGTCATATCTGTCATATAATATACTATCACAACATATTTTTCAAATATTTGTACCTTATTGCCTTGCTAGACACGAAAGTTTATAAATTCTTCAATGTACTGTCCTAATAAGTATAACAGATGTCTTTTATATTAAAAAGAAACTCTCACAGCACTATGAAGCTTTCTGTTTTGTTTAGGATTGTTGTGATTGTTAATTGACAGAGTGGTTTATATAGCGTTTTATGCTATTTGTATATTTGCTTTGGAAGATACCTTTCAGTGAAGAGCATTTGCCAACTAAGGGGTTATCTCCTATCTCTTGTCCCATACCATACCCTAGCCCCAGCACAACTAAAGATATACTGCTAATACATTTTTGTTTGTTTATTTAGCTGCATGGCTTAAGCCTTTGACTGGTCAAAGTGCTATATTAGAGGACCTAGAAGGCCACATGTGGCCTTGAGGCTGCAGGTTCCCCAACTCCTTCCCTAAATGCTAAAGTTTGCAGCATACCATTTGATTTTCAGTAATTCTCTATCTTGTGGAATGACTGTGTGGAAGCTATGAAGAAACTGTTTTTATGTAATTCAAGTCTTCCTTTCCTACATATTTGTTCCAACCAGAATTTTTTCTCCATTAGATCACCATGCTTTTTAGGTCAAAGGTGGCAATCTCTCTCTGTGTAGATGTAATTGGGAAAAATTGATTAATAAACTTTGATTACTTTTTCCAACACTAATTTCTAATACCAGTACTAGGAGAAAATATATTTCCCTAATGGCTTTGTGCTGTGAAAGGTATAGCAAAGTTTCCCTTATTAAGAATTTCCATGTATACCACATTTGCATTTAGAGCTATCATTGCATTTTCTAAAATCAGCATTGCTGGGTAATACATGCATATTCAGGAGTACTATAACTTTAAGTATGATCTTTTTTTTTTTTAAGGCAATTGGGGTTAGGTGACTTGCCCAGGGTCACACAGCTAGTAAGTGTCAAGTGTTTGGTCTGAGGTCGGATTTGAACTCAGGTCCTCCTGACTTCAGGGCCGGTGCTCTATCCACTGCGCCACCTAGCTGCCCCAAGTATGATCTTCTTACACTAACACTATTTAAGCAAAAGTAATGCTTTGGCAACTATATTCATGAGGTTAGTTTATTTTTTCCTTCTTATTCTGCAGCTCCAAGTGCTCCTCCACAATCTGTCACAGTGTTGACAGTTGGAAACCACAACAGCACGAGTATCAGTGTTTCCTGGGACCCTCCTCCTCCAGATCATCAAAATGGAATTATCCAGGAATATAAGGTATGGCCAGAGACAAAAGAAAAAAAAAGTTACTAGATGTACTTTATTCCAGAAAATTCTATTTAGATACAGAAATTGTACAGTTTGGTAATTATATATTTTTCCTACAAAATATCACTTAAAATTTTTATTTGATTCATTCTCAGAATATCCTTGTGGCATACAGTAGTAAAGGAAGATATTCCTGAGAAACAGAACAGAGAAATTGTGACCTAAAGTTGCCCAACTAATATATGACAAAGCTGGAAATAGAACATAGGTCTTCTTACTCTACAGAGGTACATAATTGAGATTAAATTAGCTGTTTCAGTTAGTGAAAAAATATTAAACACTTAATTTGGCGTTGCTTGGAAGAGAAAAAAAAACAACCAATTGACTGATTTTCCAATGAATTGCTTTGATTTTATGTAGAAAGTTTATGCCCCATGTTTTGCTGTCTTTTGTATTTGGTATAGTGAATATGTCTAAATGGGAAGAATAAAATCCTAAATGTACCGTGATTAGAGTACAACAAAATAAGTATTTTGAATCTCACTAACACTTGTGAAAATTGAAAACCTATAATTTTAGTTATTAATAAATATTTATGGAGTGTCAAAATTATTATCCTTAACACAGAACATTTAGCAGAATTAAAGGCATTTTCTGATCAGGGATTTATATTTTAAGGTGAGAAGTAGAATTTAATTCAAAAGATTACATTATTATTTTTAGTACACATGAAAAACACTTTTTGAATAACATTCTCATAATAAAGGAATTCCTTATCCATATTGATAACGTGATGAATATAATAATGCCCAATTTCATTAAGAACACCACTGTCTCCATATAATGAAGACACATTCAGGAGAAAGAAATGTAAACACTGACATTTGAAAACCCAAGATTATCACTCCTAGTACTTTACACTGGGGCAGCTAGGTGGCACAGTAGATAGAGTGCCAGGCCTAGAGTCAGGAAGACTCATCTTCTGAGTTCAAATCCCATCTGGCCTCAGATGTGTGACCCTGGGCAAGTCACTTAACCTTGTTTGCCTCAGTTTCTTCATCTGTAAGATGAGCTGGAGAAGGAATGGCAAACCACTCTAGTATCTTTGCCAAGGAAATCTCAGTAGGGTCACAAAGAGTCAGAAATAACTAAAATGACTAAATAACAAAAACTTTACATTTCACTGTTTGTCGTGGTGACCCGTAACTAATATGTGATACCATCTTAAGGGAAAAAAGCATTTAGGATCAAAACCCAAGTTCTGATCTTTGTCTTATGTCAGATTCCACCCCACACTGTAAAATTAATTATCTGAAATAAAAGAAACTGAGGCAAAAAAATGTCTGAGTATGGTATGATTTAATTTGCAAGGCTTGCATTTGCATATTAAACCAGTTCAGCTGACTCCTCACATATCAGAGACCCCGAGTGATTTAAAGAAATTATTTTTATATATAATAGATTAGTAATGTATATGTATGTGTGTGTATATGCATATATATGTATGTGTGTGTGCGTATATATATATATATATATATATATATATATAAAAGAAGATTTAAAAAAATTTACAGAAACTTGTTTTGAACATAATTCCATTGGACAAGGCAAGTCACTTGAGTAGTTAGAATTTCTTAATTCCATCCCAGAAGCCTTTGCTTAATGTCTGTTACATTTCGAAACCAGAAATGATACTTTAAGAAACCTACAGATCAACTGGCTTGGTTTTTCAGTTTCTAGAAAGGAGAACTTGCTTCAGAGGGTCTTGGAGAAAAGGATACTGGGTCTAGAAAAAGGAACTTGCTTAAGAGCGTCCCAAAAAAAGAAAAGGGAACTGGATCTTGAAAAAGAAGGATTGTTAAACTAGTGGTCAACCTCCATCCTCCAAGCTGTGGAGGGATATACTGACCTTAGATTACTTAACTTACATTTGCTGGAAAGTTGAACTTGCTTAACTTTTGATCAAGTCCCTTTTTCTGGCTGGTAGGTAATTTAACCTCTTCTGTAACCAAAAAAAAAAAGTCTTACAGTTCTATGATTATTTTATTTTTACAAAGACAGAGGTCTTACTCTAAGCTATTTATTAAATGATAAGGAAAGATATAGGTCTTAATCTAAATTATCTTATGTATTACTATGTGATACAAAAGGACCTAGTTCTCATCAATCTATCTGTTTACTTAATCTATAGGTATTATTTAGGCTAACTGGAATGTTTATGTTGACTTAGCTGTTAGGCTTAGCTTTTTCAAAGGCAACTTAATCGTTTACTTAAGATAACTCAAAGCAACTTAACCTTTTGAGAGAGCCCTATTAATAATTGGTTTAATCTTATATTTATTACATTCCTGTAAAGAAATGTGTCTTAAATTGTCTATCAATAAATAATAACTATCAATAGAGCCTTATCAATCTATTACTTTCTTCTACACCCACCCTGCCTGTGAGGTTTCTTGCTTCCTTTTAAGGACCTGATATATTTTGGTAGTAGGTTATATTTCTATTTTTCTAGAAACACAATTCTTCCCCCAAATACATTACTGATATTATACTTTAAGTAAGCCAGAAAGGGTGAATCATCTTAATATCAGCTTTACAAGAAATTTTTCAGTAATACATCCCCTTTGTTAATTTCATAAGGTTTGTGTGTATACCTATATAAACACAAATACAGCAGAACTTGTCTAATATAGTTCACTATTACACAGATTTATCCATTCCACAATTCAAATCATATTCCTTGAAATTTAACAGCTTCATGTTAACAACATTGTTAATCTCCAACAGTTATTTTGTCTTCTGTGATACCAGTAATTACATGTGAATATATCCACATAAAGATATATATGTATATATACATGTATATAATATATATCTATATAAAATGTACATACCTGTTGGTCAATTTTAATTTTTATATTTATACCATTTAAATAAATATTTGCTTGAATGGAATATAGTACAGAGATGTTTGTCTATAGATGTCGAGTTTTAGATGAAGTGACCATCTTATCCTTTATAGTGGGTAATACTATAAATTCTGCTAAAATTAAGAAAAAAAATCAAGAAGTGTCTTTAACTCATACATATTTCACACCACAATGTTCCATTTTCTATTGGGGTTGGTGGGTGGCAGGATATCCATAGCAATAAGATAGCACTGTGCCTGCTATATTGTTGTTTCTTAGTCATGTCTGACTCTTTGTGACCTCATTTGAGGTTTTCTTGGCAAAGTTAGTAGAGGGGGTTGCCATTTCCTTCTCCAGCTCATTTTACAGTTGAGGAACCTGAGGCAAACAGGGTTAAGTGACTTGCCCAGGGTCACACAGCTAGTAAATATCTGAGGTCAGATTTGAACTCAGGAAGATGAGTTTTCCTGACTCCAAGCCTGACACTCTATCCACTGTACCACCTAACTGACCCCTGCTATATTACCCATTAGGATAATATTATACTATGATAGTTACACATATATAAACACACATACATATACACATACATACATGTACGCACATACACACAAACATACATATACACATATGTTAAAATATACATTTTTAAAATTTTGTGCATATATTTGATTTTTCTTTAGAAGATAAATTTACATAAACATATTTTTAAAAATTAATATGTATTACTACTTTAAAAAATTAACATTTATTCTAATAGTCTTCTATTACCAGGCTGATCTTTCCATTATGGTTTCTTCTTTTTCTTCTACCTATTCTAGATCTGGTGTTTGGGAAATGAAACTCGGTTTCATATCAATAAAACTGTGGATGCATCAATTCGATCTGTAGTGATTGGTGGATTATTCCCAGGCATTCAGTATCAGGTAGAGGTTGCAGCAAGCACCAGTGCAGGAATTGGTGTGAAAAGTGATCCACAGCCCATCATTATTGGTGAGCACATGTTCTGTGTCATCTCTACTAGGCCATCCTGAACCCAACCTACTAACCTAACTTTTTTTTTCCTATAATCTCTTTTTGTTATTGTTATTGTTTATTTTTTGTTTTTGGCAAGACAATTTGGGTTAAGTGACTTGCCCAGGGTCACACAGCTACTAAGCGTCAAGTGTCTGGTCTGAGACTGGATTTGAACTCAGGTTCTCCTGACTCAAGGGCCAGAGCTCTATCCACTGCACCATCTAGATGCCCCCCCCAAATCTCTTAACAGATGATACAACTTAAACATTTCTTGTGAGCTCACCACCTTAAAAGACAGGCCGTTCCAAACCATTAATGCAAATCATTGCAGTTCTTCCTTTTGTATAATGATCCAAAGTATGCTGACTTGTAACTTCTACCAAATATATCTAATACTTTTTCCATACAATGGTCCTTCAAATATTTGAAGCCAGTTAATATGTCCTCACTGGTTAGCATTGAAATAGTATAGAATCAGCACCAACTGCCTGGCCCTATCTGTTCATTCAGATTCAGTTTTGGAAGAAATTGAGGTAATTCAATGAAATGAGGTCATTCAATAATAAACAAAAGTAGGTTTTCTTAGCCACAGCATAGAAAGAGTATTCAACAAGCTAAGGCCTGTACTTAATTTGTGTGAAAATGTCCTAGTCCTCCCCTGGTCTTCATATGGAAAAACAGCTGGTTAGTTGGGCAGAATAAGTCCTCTTCCCTCTCCAGTGACCTTTTGCATGAGATTTATCTAAGAAATTATTTAACGTATGATCAGAGTAACAAAAAAAAAAATCCAAATTACATGCAATTATCCGCTGGAACTTCCTTTCAAAACTAATTTGATGAGTTTTACTTTCTAAAACATATCAAATGTACAGATTATGTAGCCAAGTTGATTGAATGTTATATAGAAATGTCAATAAACATTTACTAAGTACCTACTGTGTTCCTCACATTGTGCTACACTGCATATACAAAAATAAACAGAAGACAATCTCTGGCCTCAAGAAGCTCACAATCTAATAAGGCAGACAACAAGCAAAAAATATGTGCAAACAAACTACATTAAGGATAAATAGGAAATAATTGAAAGGAGGCTTAGAATCAAGAGAAATTGGGAAAGACTTTGTGAAGAAGATGGGATTTTGGTTGGCTCTTAAAGGAAGCCAGGAAAACCAGTAGTTGAAGATAAAGAGAGAGAGTATTCAAGGCATGGGAGATAGCCATAGAAAATGCCCTGAGACAAGAAATGAAGTGTCTTGTTCATGGAACAGCAAGGAAGCCAGTGTCACTGAATTGAAGACTGCATGACAGGGAGTAAAGTATGACTGGCAAAGTAGGAAGGAGCTAGTTAGTAATAAAGGGCTTTCGAGCCAAACAGAGGATTTTTTTTATAATTGTAGAAGCAATAGGGAGCCACCGGAGTTTATTGAGAAGAGGGGTGGCATAGTCAGACCTGTGCTTTAGGTTAGTCACTTTGATGGCTAAATGGATGATGGTTTGGAATGGGGAGAGATTTGAGGCAGGCAGACCTACCAGCAGGCTATTGCAGCAGCCCAGGTGTGAAATGATGAGGCCTGCACCAGGAGACTTTGTCAGAGGATAGGAAACGTATTTGAGAGATCCTGTAAAGGTAAAGTCAACAGGCCTTGACAACAAATTAGATGTGAAGGGTGTGAGATATAGTGATGAGTCTAGGATGATACCCAAGTTGTGAGCTGATTTCTTCTAATAATATTAGATACTGGTAATAAGAAAAAAATATTTCACCTTTAGATTATAACAGTTATGTTAATATTTTTGGCAAAATGTGTCTCATTTCTACCGTACTGCTGGAATCACCAAGAAACCAGAGGAGGCCACACAGGTATAATGCTTGTTTTGTATTTTTGTTTGTCGCATGGTTTGCTGTGCCTGAAGAGTCTATCACCAAAAGGCTGATGAAGAAAGTCTCTCTATTTAGCTAAGTTGGTCTTCAAAAAAAAGACACAACTTTGAAGTCTTTTCAACAGGAGTAGAACTTACACTAGCCTACATTCCATTGGCATAGCTTCCATACAGTAATGAGACATAGAGAACTTTATTATCATTTTTGTTGTCATCAACAACAATAGTAATAGTAAAGAAAAAATAAATTAAAATGATATTAAACATATAGTATGTTTAAATTATTAAAATAATTACATCTAAAGTTATTAATTTTAATAAAATTATATCAACAACAGTAATAATTCCCATAAAGGAATGACTTCTCAATTTTATTATTGTTGTTGTTATTAATAATGATAATAATATCTAGTATTTATTTAGTGTTTTAAGATTTACAATGCACTTAAATACTATCTATTTTGGTCCTCACAATAAGCCTGGAAAATAGGTGCAATTATTATCTCCATTTTACAGATGAAGGAATTTAGGCAGATAGAAGTTAAAGACCTGGGAAATAGGTGCAATTATTATCTCCATTTTATAGATAAAGGAATTTAGACAGATAGAGGTTAAAGAACTTGCCCAAAGACACACAGCTATTAAGAGCCTGCAGTCCCATTTAATTTCATATCTTCTTGACTTCAGCTTCTTAACTTTTAGATTGTACTATCTAGAAACCTGTCTTCATTCTGTACCTCTTTATTGGAAGATGGACATGTTGACAGATTTCTAGAACTACAAATTAAATCTCCTCTTTTGCTTAGCTAAAGTAATTACAATATTACCCTATCATTCTGCTACTGCTCCCTTGGTCCAAAATCTAAAAATTTGTTAAACACGTGAAACTGTTTCTCATGTATTCTCAGGAACAGGGCTCCTCTTTGCCAAATAATAATTTCCTGAGTTTAAACAAGAGAAAATTTGATGATGAAACTTTTCTTTGAAATGTCTGTCTGTTCTTAATTAGTTATTCTCAGATGGAATTAATTTCTTGATCCAAAGGAAAACTCTGTAATTTTACCATTTTGAAATGTTTTTGAAACATAAATTGGATGGAAAAAAGGAATACAGGCATATCTCAAATAATTTACCTGAGATAAGTTAAATATATTTAGGTAAGATTGATATCATTTAAATATATCTCATTTTGACTCTTATGATATCATACAGAAAATAACTGATTGTAAAATAGTTGTTTAATGCCTTTGACATCATTTAAGTTTTTTCCTTTCATCCCTTAGTAATAGGTGCACTTATCAAGCATATGGAGGCCTTTCAGTATCTGCCCTCTCTACTTGAGTCTAAAGCATTTCAGGGTATTTGAAGCTTATAAGCAAAGAGAAATTTATATTTACACAATAAAATTAAATCCAGATCATAGCAGTCATGGTAAAGCAATTATGTAATGAATATGGGAGAAGATGGCAGCCAGTTCAAATGAATCAAAAAGTCAATCTTTGTTAGTAAGGTTGAATATACAATAAGCTTCTTATGTGTTATTTTTTTCCCTGTAAGACTTCTAAGTAATTAAAAAAGAGTTTAAAATAATGAATTTCCCAAAAGCTCTCACTTGTAAATAAAATATGAACTAAGAAGTTGATGCTTTCCCTTTGGATCTAGTTCTAGTATAACTTCATATATTTGTCTGGTCATTTGTTTTCTTATTTTAATTAATTAATTTATTTTTAGTTTTCAACATTCATTTCCATAAGCTTTTGAATTTTCAATTTTCTCTACCTCCCTTCCCTTCCCCATTCCCCCTTCCCAAGACAGTATGCAATCTGATATAGGCTCTACATATACATTCTTATTAAACATATTTTGACATTAAGCATGTTGTAAAGAATTAGAATGAATGGAAGGAACCATGAGAAAGAAAAAAAAAAGAGAGAGAGAGAGAAAGAGCAAATAGTATGCTTTAATCTGCATTCAGACTCCATAGTTCTTTCTCAGGATGTGGATAGCATTTTCCATCATGAGTCTTTTGTAGTTGTTTTAGATCCTTGCATTGTGATCATTTTTTTAAACATAAGTTTCTACTTTACACTTCTCAGTTTCTTAAAGGAAAATTGTCCATTGCCATGCTGTATCTGTTTGACTTCTCGGCTCTTGTCCCATAAGAGGATTATTTCTTCCAATTTTCACAATAATTTGACTCTGAAATATTTCTCTGAACAATCCAAAATGTTATATGCCTAAATTATGTGTGATTCCAGTGAATTTGAGTGTGTAGAATTGTTACATTGTTGGACAATTATTTAGTCTTAAGGAGTATATTTAAGTTTGTGTACTGTTCTTGGTACATCAGAGGTAACTTAGCCTTGTTTTCATTTTAAATTATTCACTTCATTATTATGCTAAAAATGTTTCCTATAGCACCATCCTTATCGAGGCTTGCTGTTAAATGACATATTTTAATGAGGTTCTGCTCATATTAATGAGTACTAAAATTCATTTAAATGGGTATTTCTGTTAAAGAATGTTAACTTTGTATTGGAAATGTGACTTTGAATTTATTAATTTTTCCCTGAGAAACTAGAAATGTCTCATAAATTTTATTCTCATTATGAATTAAAATGGTAGTATGTCTTACCAAAGCTATTAGTGTAGAAAACAGTATTGTGACATTTGAAATAAAGAAAAAAAAGTAATCACATTTTGATAATGAAAACTTCTTGTTCCTTGGAAATTTCTTTTTTTTTTTTTTAACATTCAGTGTTTTACTAAAGAAGGAATTTAGTTGTTTCCTTAGTAATCCCAAAATTTTTGCTATAATAAACTTATCTGGAAGCCCTACATATACTTATTTATTATTCAGTAGATGAAGAGTAACTTAGTAAGATCTAATCCCCATTTTCTTTTTAATTTTCACTTCACAAATCATATATTCCCTTTCCCTTTAATTAGATACCTTATTGATCATTGCCAGTGATGAATCTCTTCATTGAAATATTATATACTTCAACATATAACTAGTTACCTGCTATTACAAGCAATGAAAAGCTTTTCTGTCCCAGTCATCCTTTCTTATGGTGATTTTTGCACAAAAAATGAAATTATTTTCAGTTGTTCTTTGTTTCATAGAGACATAAATATAATCATGCATATTTGCATACCTGAATACAATAGAGATTCTGGACAACAGAAATTCAAGTGGGGTATTTAAGAAAGTATATTTATAATTGTGTTAGTTAATAATATAGTTATTCTCTAATCATTTGCTTCTTTCATGCTCATGCTATATCGTTGGTATAATATACAGAACAGCTGCAAACTTTCACAGTAATAAGTACAATCAAATCTGATGTACCTAATTAATTTGGGGTCCAACAAATTAGTTTTGTTCTTCATTAAGCTCCAATGGGAGGAAGACAATCTATTTCGTTATATTTTTGCCTGCTGGAACAATGGAGCATTACAGGTCACACACATCCCTTGTCTGTGCTCTAATTAGTTGAACTGACAGCATTGTTACAGAAACACCTGCAATATATGAAACACGAATACACTTTGAGTCATGCATATACGTATATCTCATATTAAATACGTATAAAATGTGTTTTTTGCTGCTAATTTCTCACAAACAATTGTGTTTCTTTTGGGGGTAAATTTCTATTCTCCTAAGTAGTGCAATGTTTATCTAATGAAAGCATTAGGTATGTATGATTCTTGTAGCATATAAATAATTGATTAATGATACACATACATTTGATAATTACGGATAGAAAAAAAAACTAGGCTGACTCTTGACATCATCTGTTCTAAGGGAACTTCATTTTGTTTTCTCAAGTTTGTAAACAAAGAGCTTCTAGGAAAAGAGTAGACATTTCAGAGATGCTTATGACACCTACCTTTCAGGGTTATAGGGAGGATAAAATGAGATATTTGTAAAGTGTTTTGCAAACCTTAAAGCATTATATAATACTGGTTGCTGTTAGTTCCTTTGGATATGAAATAAGTCAAGTCCTTGAAGTTGTCTGAATAATTCAGAAATCATAATGTTAATTTAAAACGTTTTGTGCTAAGCACTGGGAATACAAATACAAACAAAAAGAAAGATTGTCCTTGGCCTCAAGGAACTTCAGTTACAATACATAAAAGAAAGTGGAAAGGGGAATACAGAATGAAGTTACCTAGTGCAGGAGCATGGAAGAGAAGTCTAGAATTTACCTTGGTGAGCAACGAAGGAAGACTCTCAGTTGTAGAATCTTAATCTATTCTTGCCTTAAATGTGTTTTGAGAAGTGGAATCTCTTTATGTATCTTAAATATAGACTTTGACTATATTTAGCTTCCTCTACTCTATACTTCACTCAGCTGCCTACAGTGCTAGTCTACGTCACACACACCCCCTACTCAAACTCTAGTGGCTTCTCATTATTTCTGGGCCCAAATATAAAATTTTTAGTTTGGCATTTAAAGCCTTTCACAATCTAAACACTTCCTACCTTTCCAATCATTTTACACTTTATTCCCCTCAACTTTATGATCTAGTGACACTAGCCTTCCTGCTCTTCCTCTCACAGGACACTCTGCCACTTAGTCCTTGACTTTTCACTGGCTGTCCCATAGCTTATTTCTAACAAAATATTTGTGATTTCACATTTTTGCAGCATCAGCCACAGATAAAAAAGGAAGTAACATGGTATCAAGTATAACCATAGATTCTAAATATGTGAATCTGGACAAAGTACCAGGCCAAACTAGCAGAGGAAATATCTACACAATTACTACCCTGTGATAAATTTTATTCATCAGTATATCTTGCTGTTTCATCACTTTTAGAAATAATGTGCCTTTACTGAAGGTTGCTGAATTTTTTAGGCTGTAATAGCATGTTTTCATATGTGTTTAATTGTATATTCCTGTCAATAATATAAAATGCACCAATTATGAAATTGTTATGGCCTTAAGCAAAAAATAAACATAACAAGAAACAAGAATTAATCTTAAGAGATTGTCTATGTCCTCTTGGATATGTTTGTGTATAAGTATACCTATTCAGTGTCTTGATGTTTGTCTTTAATTCTTCTTTTTCCAACTAAGGGGGACGTAATGAAGTTGTCATCACTGAAAATAACAACAGTATAACTGAGCAAATAACAGATGTCGTGAAGCAGCCAGCCTTTATAGCTGGTATTGGAGGTGCATGCTGGGTAATTCTGATGGGTTTCAGCATCTGGTTGTATTGGCGCAGAAAGAAGAGAAAGGGACTCAGCAATTATGCTGGTAAGGAGCTATTTCTTATTACAAATTGATGGTATACTGGCAGAGAATCCCGAGACACAAAAGTATGAGAAAGAGAATTATTTAGGAATAGAATTAATGAATATTCTTGGTTTATCTGTTCAGAAAGTATGTTGTTGGAAAGGTACTGTCACATAGTGCTGTACTGCATTACTCAGCACACGTCATATCATTATCATGAGACTATGGCTTTGTTCAGATTGGAAACAGATCATAAACATCACCGTAGAATGCTTAGCTATTTCTTTGATTCATTTGTGCAGTGCAATAACTACGACAGGGATAACAACCCCTTTGCATGTTCCTGAACTCTTGCTCCGAGGGCCACATTTGAAAGAGAATTTCTGAAACACATATTTCTCTCTTTAAAAAAGTTTTCAAAATTTTATATAAATAACTGGAACATTTCCTATTTGAGAATAGGAACTTTTTCCAAATTGCCCCCAAAATATCTAATTACAAAAATACTTTACCCTTTAAACCAAACAAAAAAAGGAGGGGGTGGAGTTTGAAGGAGTTCAAGTGGCTGCTTAAAAATAATTCCTAGAGGAAAAATATGCAGAAGGATTCAAGATAATGTGCTGTTATCAGATATCTTGGTCATTAACAATTTTACTAAAATACCCACTGATTTATTTTCCTGTAGGACCCTGAGAACATCACAATCATTAAAAAATGTAGAAGAAAAACTTTTAATTAAATGTATATATAAATTGCCATGATGTTTGACAGGACAGATAAATATTTGATCACATGTAACAACAGCATTTGATTTAGAACAAATTCATACAAGTTATAGAATTTTAGAACTAAATAGAACTTTGTCCATAACAGGTATCCAAAGTTACCCAGAAAGTGATAGAGCTATTACTAGAACTCATGAATACTAACCTTCATTCCAGGATTTCCTACCACACCTCACTGTTATAACTTTTGGTAGCATAGACTAAATATTTTTCTATGTCAGTGAGACATTTTATTATCTGTGAGTAAACTGGCACAGTACATCATTGTGAGTAGGCTCTAACATTCATTAAAATTCAAAGAATATTGTTGAATGTATTCTTTATTACACAGTTGACTACACTTAACTATTCTTAACAAAATATTTAGAACATAATATTGTAAATATCCATTTGTAAAAAGCAAATATTTAACAAAAGAAAGAACATAGTTATTATGTTTGAATTTGTTCTGACATTTAAAATAAGTATCATAGCACATCCATTTAAACTGAAAGCCAAACACCATAAAATGTAACTAATCATCTTTCTGCCACTTTTGTTTCTCATTGGCTGCTGACTGACTAGCTCATAAAGCTCCATTGTTTAAATTGATTGTAGTAACACATCATAAATGGGGGATTCTTAAAGAAAGAAGTGCCCAGCAGTTAGTGATTGGTGACAGAATCTGTAACTCATGATGTTTGCCTTCTTGTTTTGCAGTCCAGTCCTTCACCTTCACCCCTGCAGGTACTGTCCATCAATCCATGTATTTCTTCAGTCATATTCCATTTCATCCATTTGACTTTATATTCCTATAAATTACTTAATAATGAGAAACACTAAATTGAGGAAGATTTAGTTTTACTCATCATCATTGATAATAATAATAATGAGACATACACCAATTACTTAAGAGAAAGTTTAAATGTGCCATAATTTAGACTCACATCATCTTTAACTGGCATATTATTCATCTGTTGATTCATTTATTAACTCAAGTCCTTTTAATCAAAATAATTTGACAGTTATTAGGCCAATGCTTTTGGTAAGCTAATAACTATGGCAAATAGGGTGGGGTTTTTGTTTATTTTATTTTCTTTGGTTTGGGGGATTTTTTTTTCTTTTTTTACAAAGGGTCAAATTCCTCTCTTGTGATATTTTGTAGAGTTAACTTGGATATATTTGTGAATCTTTTTCTGTCATAAAGATAGTATGCCTGAATACAGGATTAAATATTCTAGAAATAGGAATTCCAAATCAAGAAGAAGTTTCTTGAGCAATAAGTTTCAGATACTTCTTCCAGTACCTCAGAACAAGAACACTAAAAGGCAGAAGTCCTCCCTTCCCGCCAAAAAATCATTCTTCATTGACAGTACATTTTATTTATTCTAATCCTTCTCCAAAAAGATTTGTATATTGCTTAGGAGGACCAAAATTTTCCTTCAGACATATTTTCTTCCTCAAGCCCTATTTTTTGAAAATAAAGAATATATATCCACTTCTGATCTTCAACTGTTTCCCACGTGGGAATAATCTACACAAATAGTCATCTTCTCTTTGCTCACATTTTTGTATTTCTTCCATTATACAAATTAGATAATGTAATTTTTTTAAAGGAACAAAAAGCTTTTCATGATGTCTTAAATACAATGTTGGTCTTGCTGACAATTCCGTTCACTTTGATGGATTTATATATCATAGGGATACCGCAAGATTTATTTTCTATAGTATGCAACAAATACTTATGGAAAATCAGAACTGTTAGTGTTAGCCCTATTTTTTAGATATTTTCTTAAGGAAAAAGTGCCTTGGAAGTTAAAGCAAAGCCAATTACATGTGCATCTTTTCCAATTTTTAGAAAGATTAGAACTGGGTGGACATTTCCATTTCTATATAGTACGTTCAATGGAGAGATTTTGATGTTATTCTTAGAAAAAAAATTTTAACTTTTTGTTCTTTTATAAATGTGTGTATATTTGTATATAATTTTGCTACTATACTGATTCTATATAATTTAATTATGAACAACAACTTTACTATGGGATCAGCACATTAATTAATTAAAGAAATAAAGTATTTTTAAAATTCAAATTCAAAGCTCGATGTTGTACATCAGTTTCTTCTATGAGATATAGGTTAAAATTAGCATTCAGTTAAAATATCTCGCACTATATACTCACCTGAAGAGTTATAGTTTTTTCCCTTTTGTAGTAAATGATAAACAGTATTTTACATAAGGAAATAAATGAAACAGGTTTATTTGGTCTTCAGAAACTCAGACCCTTTTCTCTTTCTTGTCTCTCACTTTTAGGATCAGAAGGGAAATATATTTGGGGTCACAGTAACTTCTGATAAATACCTGTCAAATTACTAGACTTCAGTAGTTACTTACTTAACATCCCAACTCTAGCTATATTTAACAATAAATTGTTTTCAGTTGCACTTGAATGAAAACTAAAAAACTATTATTCAGTTTTGGGATTTTCCTTTTAGGTATCAGGTATATCGAATGATACATCTAAGTGCACACACACACAGCAGAATGACAGCTGATTAAAACCTTGCTACATTTAATAGCAATTACATTGTTTTAGATTGCACTTGAATGAAGATTTAAAAGCTGTTATTCACTTTTGAGATTTCCCTTTTAGGTATCAGAGAATATAAAGATACATATACATGCACCACACATGGCAGAATGACAGCTGATTAAAACTTTTGTACCCAGGCAACTATCAAGTTTCTTGTGCATGATTATGCATTTTAATGACTTGGGAGGAGAATTTGGCCCAAAAATGTTATACTTTTTAGCCACCCAAAGATAAGAGATTACCTGAAGGCTGCATTATACACTAACATCCTGTTTTTTCATGTTCACCCTCTACTCAAATTCCTCAGATACAAATATGCACGGCAGGTTTGCACGTGGCACAGAGAAGGGGAGCTCGAACAAAACAGGTATCGCTGCCTTCCCATAGAATATGGGGGCTCTTTCCATTTTCCCAGGACCACTAGGGGACGGGGTTTTGCTATTGCTCTTTTTATTGAAAATTCAAGTACTACATATTAGTTTCCTGACCTGTGCAGAAATTAATAACATTAGTAACTGCTAGAGACATGGAGATGTGGGAAGAGACTGTAAAAAAAAAAAGAGATGACTTTTGAAGCAAAGGAGAAAATTTTGTTATATATATATATATATATATACATATATATATATATAATGAATAAATTTAAAAAAGCTGTTGAATGATAAATGCAGCATAAATGTACGTAGAGGAGGAGAAGTTTGAATACATGTATCTTTCATGTGGATTCTAATATTCACTAAACTGTCACCACTTTATGAAAGCATACACATAGGCCATCAACTGAATGTTGAAAGTAATTGTATTTCCACCTGTGAGCAAGTGAAAGTTTACTTAGCATGTGTTACCCTTAGGGATTATGGATTTTGTGAAACTGAGTCAATATAAACAAATTAAAATTAGAGAGGAAATTATAAAATTCTAAGCATTTCATGCACAGGTCTTAATACTGCTGAAGTATAAATTATTCGACAGAATCATCCAAAAGCAGCCAAAAGATTTGATGGAATTTTTATACACAGATTATCTATTCTGAGTTAATGCTTATTAAAAGAGGATTAATCTACATTCATATTTGAAAAACAGCTTATCAGAAAAAGGAATGAGGACTGACTGGCAACATTAAAGTTTTCATTTGTGGTAGGAAAATGTGGTTTACTAGAGATAGGCACACAGAGAGCTTCCTGGCCTCAAAATGTCAATTTATAATATATTTGTGTTTTTCCAGTTCTAGTAGGCATGTGATTAGGATTAACCCTGTCAGATAATAGTGTGGGTACTTCATGTATGACATAAACTTGCAAAAGCTCTTCGACTTAAATGCCCTAGGAAAAAAAATGCAGTAATATCCTCAGATTTAGTGCATTTAAAACATTCTGGATTATGATAACCATGGGGTTCCATGTAGTCCTCATCATTTGGTATTTTGTAAACTTTTTCCCTCTAAAGTTATTAATGTTTTCACCTCCAAAATTCACCTTTCTTCACACCAATTAAACAAATGTTTATTAAATGCCTATAAGATGCATGATACTAGGTTAGGTATTGGAGAGACAAATATAAAAATAAAACAATTCCTGATCTCAAAGAACTTGCATTCTATTAGGGATTTATAAATTGTGTACCACTAAAAATGTAAAGTGTATATAAAATAACACAAAATAATTTCAACAGGGAGAAAATACTAACATTTTTAGGATTCCTTCATGTAGGAGGATATCATGCTTAGATGCAAACATTTAAGAATGCCTTAAAATACTTATTGGTTACTCCAAGCTTTCCTGTGTCAAATTCATGGTTGGTACAAGATGATCAGAATCATTCCCTTCTCCCTCCTTATTTTCTTTTCTTTGAACACCATAACTCTGAAGCATGTAATTGAAATGAGAAGTACTTAAGGAGGATGGTTCTCAGATGTACAAATCAGTGTATTCTAGACAAGCCTGTCCAAAGTTGTGCTATACTGTTTTCTTCCACTTTGTAAGGTTATATATAGAATTAAAGTAGCTAATATTAAATTGACATGAAGTTCTTTAAAGTTTATCAGTGTGGTTCAGTCTACAACATATTCTTAGCTCTAACCCTCTTAGTCAGAACAGAAAACAAGTAGAGAAGATTGGATTAAAGTGTTTTTAACCATACAACTCAATGTAGAAGTCTATGTTCTGAAGAAAATGATTTCATCAGATTATGTACTTCCTCACCATATGCAGTCTCTTTCCTCCAAACACCTTAACAGTCTGTCTTCATGGATTGTTTTAGTCAAAAAATCATCACCCTTTTGCCAACTCGATAATGAACCTTATTTCCATTTGGCCAGGCTCTGATGGCCATTGTTACACAGAGGCAAACATAAGTAAACATAGTCTTGAAGGCTTTGGCAGAAAAGCACATGCTCTTTCAGGTCCTTCCTGTTTGGAAAGGGTTTGAGGAAAGACATGGCAGCAAATTTTCTGTCTGTTGTCCAAGAACCAGTTGAGCTAAGTGTTCAGGAATGATATTTTCTCTTCACTAAAGTTTTATATTCTTAGTCACCACAAATAGAAAAGATCAATTTTGTACAGAACTTGCTGTTGGTTAGTTTTTAGAAGGTAAATATAATAATTAACAGCTCTTTATGGTTCTAGTCCACATTTACTTCTTTATTGCAGTATCATTTGTACCATCTGTTGCCTTGACAGTGACAGAATGTTTGGTAAGGGGGAAAAAAGAGCATCCAAATTAGTGGGAGTTACTTAGCTTCTACTCACCCATTTCCTAACACTGTGTTTTCAGATAGTCAGTCAACTATCCATTTACATATTCACAATAATATCCAAGCATTAGCTTATTCACCTTTATCAGAGTGAAACAATTACTTAGTATTCCATTAAAAAGCAACATAACTAGAAAGTATGCATCAGATAGAAAACTACAGAGTATTCACATGTTGTGTTTTTTTTAGTCAGGGGTTTTAAATCTTGATTGCTCAATTTTTTTCTTCATTAACTTTTTCAGATTAATTATTTTTAAAGATGCAATAAAATGTGATCCAGCCATACTGTTGTTGACTCATGGTTCTGAAGCAAATTCAGTTAGAAGTCAAATAGGAAATGAGGGGTTCCATGTTTCCCAGGGAGTTAGAATTGATTTTAATTAGTATTGTTTTACAGTGAGTTCCTAAAGCTACCTGAAAAATTGATAAGGTAGCATGATTAGAAGTATTAAAAATGTGTTTCTAGTAGACCTGCTTGATATATTAATACCATGACAGGTCTTTTTTTCTTATATTACCTAGCCTCATTGTCAAGACAGATGATAACTAGTTTTGAAGATAAACCAATTAATTAACAAGAATTCATTAAATGAATACCATGGGCCAGGCATTGATAATACAAATGAAAAGAATGTGAAAAAATTGAAACTTTTAAAAAATTAAATTGTGTTTGTAGCAACTTGAAGTAGGTAAAAAGGTAAAAGAAAAAATGTGATGATTTGGTTACAAAAGTTATGGATCCTTTAAGTAGCTAAAGTATTCCATTCATTCAAAATTATTCCATTTACAAAAGTTTCATTACTCTTTAACATCTTGCAAATTAATCAATATTCACTTGTAGTTAGTTATTTTGGTGCAGTGTTACAATTTAAAAAAGGATGGATGCATAGTTTCACATATGTAAAAGGGTATTTCCCCTACCTCAGGAATGACCATTTTCTCTCTATATGATCTCTGCTTTAAACACTGATGTGTTTACTTTTGTACTCATATATGAAAATCACTTATAGACTGATGGCTTCACATCCTCCTGACTTATCCATTGACCTGAATGGTATCCACAACCTGTAAATTCCATGGAATGCTCTTCTGTGTTGTTTTATTATTCTGAAAGATCGTAATTAGAAAGAAAGAACTTGTATTCCATGACAGCTAGATGTTGTTGAAGTCAGTATGGTCTACAATTCACAGTGTTTTATTGTTGAAACAAATCACATTTCAGAACCTACCCCATCTCTTCTGAAGGAATTAAATTGGACATTTGATATCAATACAAACTTCAGACGAAGACTGAAAAAAAATCATCATGATTTCGAATATTTCTGGTTGGCCAATATCGAGTGTGGTCTAATAGATAGAGAACTAACTTCAGAGTCAGAAAGAGTTGAGTTCAAATTCTGACTGTGACACAGAGTAGCTCTATAATTTAGCTTTAGGTATTCACAGTCAACTCTCTAGTTGCTAATCTGCATCAGTACAGGGTGTTATCACACTGAGAGTTCCTTAAACAAATGAAACCTCAGTTCTAGACTCCCTCAACATTCACTTTGATGATGAGAAATATAGTTAACTTTTTTATCACCTGTTTGAAATGGTTTGCTGCAATTCCTGTTGCATTACTATGATGCATTATTATTTTTGCATCTTTTTTACTGATTATGATATGATGGTATCCTACTTTTGCTCCAATTATATCAACATAGAAATATAAGAGTAATGAGAATAATGAATTTTGACATCTAAATTTATTTCAGCTTATTGACTAAAATTTATCTTTGCTCTGAAGGGACATATTATATTATTGAATATATTATTATGTTAATAAATATATTTCAAAAATGATATATATCATATTGAAATCACTTACTAATTGGAGTGAGGACCTTAGTCAGAATCTTATTTGTTATTCTATGTTTAATTATATTAACTATAGTTTGGTAAAGCTTCCAGAAACTTTAGAGCTAAGGATCAAAATGCACTTGTTACTGATAGTAATTTTTATTAACAATTTCCTTTTTTAACAGTCACTTTTCAAAGAGGCGATGCAGGACTAATGAGCAATGGAAGGTATGCTAAAAACCTTTTGTTTTAATTCTATTTTATTTTTAATCAGGAAGAGAGAAACTCCATAGAAAAGGCTATTATTGTAATAAATGATCACTTACAAGCCTGAGAATTCTAGAAGGAATTAAATGACTTACCACAAGGTTTAATGCTGTATCTGTTGTGCACTTTAGAGGAATCAAGTCCAGATGTTTCATATCTCCCAGATGCCCAAGGAGAAATTAGTAGTAAATATCACAAGGAATGTGTTCATTTGTTAGCAGGATGTTTATTGCATTAATTAGACATTAGCAAATGAAGTTGCTGTTGTTTAAGACTCCTTATTGGCTCTCACTAAATTGCTGTGAGCGAACAATTACACATAATCGATCACAAAATAAATGATTCATGGATGATGAATAGGTTATAGATTGATAGGCCTGGATTCCACAACTTTGGTTACTCAATTGAAATTGATAAAACCTGATAAACACATATATCCTTATCTATTTTCTCTTTTTCAATATGGAGATTGTAATTAGGCTCTGGTAATAACTTCCAATCTCCCATTCAATCAATATTTTAGCAAAAAGAGATTAGGCCTAATGAGAGCTAGTGGATGCAGCAAAAAAGCTGTTGGATTGTCTTATTGCAGTTTCCATAGAAACACATGTTTCTCTTAGGGATTGTGCCAGAAGGGGTCTATCAGGGAAAAAAAAAGTAAAATTGTGGATGTTGCTATTTCTTTGGAAGTATGCTAGTAAATTGGAAAACAATTAGGGTCCTATGTTTATATCAAAGACAGGGTTTCCATTGTTAACTGTGTCACAAGAATAAGCTCCCTCATAGGTTATCCTCAAATTTTGGGTTAGGTAGCTTGAAGTCCTTCATCCATTTAAAAATATCAGCATCTTCATTTTGGTATTTTGCAGTTGGGAATTTTGGTATTTCATTTGGTATTTTACAGTTTAAAAAACTTGAAAATTTATTGCTGTTTTTGTAACTATAAGTAATTTCGATTAATTCTGCTGCAATCTGCTTGTCTCTACAAGAGCTGGGAAAGCTTCTAAAAGGGATAACAGCCTGTAGATAACAGACACATATTTGTGATGTGAAGTGAGAAAATAGTAGCCCAAAGTCCTGGAAATGGCTGATACTGAGCAGTCAGTTTGAATGATTGTTCCCTTGAGGAGGGAACTTATTATGCAATCCTATTTTAGGATTATTCTAAGGCATAACTTCCCACCTGTTTCAAGGCAGGAAATGTAGTTTGTTTGAATGCTAGCAGGATCATATGATGCTTCCACTTCTGGAAAAAAAATGTTGAATTGTATATGCTCCTAATGAACTATGTAAGATCTCTAATTTCTGAAAATCTACACAATTTTAATTTGAAAGAAAATGAAATGTTAACTCTGTTTAACATTTCTTAGTAGAGGGAAAAGGTGTTTAAAACATCTTTTCAATTAATGTTTACATTTCAATTTTTCTTATTGAACTTGAGTTTTTTTTCCCCTCCATCACATTTCAGCCGACCAGGGTTATTAGATGCCAGTGACCCCAGTTACCCTTGGCTTGCAGACTCATGGCCAGCTACCAGTTTGCCTGTGAACAATAGCAGTAGTGGGCCAAATGACATTGGAAATTTTGGTCGTGGAGGTGAGTTATGTTTTTCAAAGTTGAATTTCTTTTAAATTGTGGCTTTCCAAGAATTTTTCTGGTCATATTTTTCCTATTTTTAAGAAATGTTCCTTAGCTAATGATGATGTTCTCACAATACTGGATATAGAATGTGTATCAATTTAGTTAATACCATTACTACTTTCTCCATCAAAATTCTAAAATTAGAAATTACATAAGAGGTTATGAGGCAGCTAGGTGGTACAGTGCAGAGTTCTGGGCCTGGTGTCAAAACTTGAGTTTAAGTCCTACCTCAGACACTTACTAGCTATGTGACCTTACACAAGTTATTTGAAACCTGTTTGCTTCCGTTTCCTAAGCTGTAAAATGGGGGTGCTAATAGCACCTACCTACCAGGTTTAGTTGTGAGAATCAAATGAGATAATATTTCTAAAACGCTAAACAGAGCACACATAGCAGGAGCTTTATAAATGCTTCTTTTTCATATTATCATTATTATTAATGACTTTCAAAATGTGCATTTATTGCTCATAGGGCATAGAAAAAGAAGTGGGGCTGTAGCTCATTAGATTGTAATCTCCCTAAGGACAGGAATTATCTCTTGCCTTTCTTTGTAACCCTTGCACTTAGCATGGTGTTTTACATATGGTAGGCACCTAATAAATGCTAGTTGACTAGCTGACTGACCTCTTAGCCTTCTCAACTTGGGTACAAGGCTGTTCCTTTTCTCTTTTATCTTATCTGATCCTGGACACTAGTCTGCCTACGAGACAAGTACCTTAGTGACAATGTCTCTTATTCCTTAGGTTCTTCCAACATTATATGGGAACTTCCTTCACCCTTTTACAAGGCTAAACTGACTTGTGAAAGAAAGAAAGAAAGAAAGAAAGAAAGAAAGAAAGAAAGAAAGAAAGAAAGAAAGAAAGAAAACAACTGAAATATTTTCATTTTTTATATTAACTATTTTTGTATTAAACTACAATTTCATTACCATCCTCATAAATAATAAGAATAATTCACATTTACATAGTACTTGAAGTTCACTTCTTCATGACAGTGATAATAAATACCTGAAGATTAAAGCACTGAGAAGCTATCTTAAGAAACAATTTTTCCGCTTTTATGCAGTCTTTTTTCCATTGCAAAGTATTTCATTAGTGATAAGTATGACTACAAAAATGTTTTCCTGCATCTACTCTGTACCTTTTAAAAAACTTGTGGCCTGATTGGCCATTACTGATTGATTAAAAGATCAGTTCAATTCAATAAGTATTTATTGAGTTAAAAACTGTTTTCAAGACACTGTATTAGGCATTGCCCAACACAAGTACAAATAAGTCATCAAAGTCATGAGTCCTAGCTTTCTCAACTATCTCCAGACCCCATCCAATTTCCTATCTGCCAAAAGAGCAACTCGGAATTCTCTAATTCTCAGTGATTTGTACCAACTGACACTTACAAGAAGCCAACTGACACCCGTAGTCTTACTTCTACTTCCTCCTCATAAATATGAATCTGTGAACTAATATGTTTCAATTTGTCAATGAGAAAACAAGATTAACTGACAATCTATTTAACCCATTACTACCACTAGAGCACAGAAATTGCCCAGAGTTTGAAGAAAAGAGCTTTACTAATTCCTCTCCTGTCTTTTGACTTGAACAAAATTGCTAACAATTTGAGTAAGAAATGCACATTACTTGTTTAGTGCTTTATTTTGAACTGGAAGAGTCAAGCCCATTAGGCAGAGAGGAAAGGGGTTCCCAGTTATATAACTAGTACTCATTGTTAGCCCAGAAGCTAAGGATAATCAGTCTCCACAGATTATTCACTGGAGGGAGCAGTGATAGAACTTCTGTGCATGACTGAATAAATCGTGTTCTCTTGAAGGCATGTACATAATGAATTTTGTTTGTTCATTGAACTAGAATGCCAGTGCAATAAATAGAATGAGATGAAAATAACAATTTGGACCAGAGAAGTGTAAACCAGCCCAAAAGTTTGTTTTATGTAGATGATTATATAGTGTGCTTGTACATTTCTAACTGATCCTAATCTTCCCACCTGATAGTGCCTCCCCCCAAATAATTCTCATATTTACCACGTATGCATGTGGTATGTGTGCATGTACACATATGCATATCTTTATATATGAGCATATTGTTTCCTCAGAAAGAAAGGAGTTTCCTTGGGAAGAGGAACTGTGTTATTTAATGTTTGTCATTTGAATCCCCAGCACCTAGCATAGGACCTAGAATACAGGAGGTTCTTAATAAATGCTTGTTGCTTGATGCTGTAGTTGCAATATAAATTGTGTTTCAAGGTACTAAAATTCAATTTCTATAGTATGTTTGGATATATTTCTTCCCTGACAAATATTCTCATTTATATATTGTTAAAATACAGAATAACAAATATTCACTCTAGAGTTTCCATGCTAAGAAAGCAATTTTACACTGCTTATAAAAATGATATTTTAATACACATTTTGCATGTTTCCTTTATTTGGATTTCATATTATTTTAAACCTTATTCTGTTGGTTTAAATATGATATTGATATGAATTTAAACTATTTCACTTAAAAAGTATAGGGATAGGAATTAAACCTATACTTTCATTGTTATAAGGAACTCAGCAACTTACAGTTTTAGAGACTTATCTAGATGACTCAAAGGTTAACTAAGTTGCTTGGGGTCGCACAACCTCTGTCAGAGATGAGATTCGGACCCATTTTTTCATGAGTCTGAGACTAGTTTTCTAGCCATTATATCTTGCTGCCTCCTGCCACATTACCAAGAATATTATTTATTCATTTATTTATTATAGTATAATTCAATGGTAGTGCCTTCTTAATCTAAGTATAGAACCCTGATTTAATATAAAATCACAGTATCAGATTTCCAAAAATTTTTAAAATGACTTCTTGGTCCCATCAGCTCAGCAGATATCATTGTAGAACAGGGGAACTGCCATGGCTGGGGTATCTGGTGGCACAGACCTCTAATTCCTGGTACTGAGGAGATAGAGGCTGGTGGAATGCTTGAGTTTGGGAGTTGTGAGTTATAGTAGGCTGATGCTAATCTCATACCTTCACTAAGTCTGGAACCAATTTGGTAAGGCCCCAGAACCAAGGGGCCACCAGCCTACTTAACTAATGGCAAACTGACCCAGGTCAGAAAAAAAAAGGAACAGATTAAAGTTTCATTGCTAATAGTTGTTGGGAATGGGTCCATGAGTAGCTGCTATTCTTCCAGCCTGGGTGAGATAGGAAATTCTTTTCCTCTTCCCACCCACCCCCTCCCAAGAAAAAGGGTGTGTGTGTGATAGATTTTAACCAAGGAAGAATTCTTCAAGTTATATTGAAATGATTTTTATGGTAACAGTATCCAAGTGCTTAGTGATTGCTTCTTGGATCCAAGTATTTTTCAAAGCTGCTTTAACTCTTTCTAGGGTCTAGTCACTACTAAGCAGCTGTGTTTATCTAGGGCCAGGGAATTTACTTTCTTTTTATATATTTTATTAACATGATCAACTAAAATGTTAACAATTTTGAGTCATTTTGAAATCTGAAACCATATTGTTTGGGAAGAAAGTCCTATAAAACTTGTTGACCACAAATTATTGAAAGTTGGTCATAATTACTCTCTGATCCCAATATTGTAGAATTCCAGATATAGCATGCCATGTGTTTATGTCTTTAAATGCCTTTCCTTTGAAGAACAAGAAGAGTTACTGGAGAGAGGTGGCTTATCTGAATTACAAAATGCACTGTAAAAATGATTCAGGATACAGAAAATGATCAAATGCAGTGATTGATACTCAGTGTTGTGTTTCTGTGGTTTGACTTTGCTCTAACAGTATTACAACTTGAAACTGTAATTCTCTAGCTGCAAGAGTCAATAGTATAAATTAACTGCATGGTCAGGGATACTGCTTTCTGTAGTTAAATCCTGCTACAACATAAAATAACTTATTCATGAAAATTTTCCTATGTTAAAAAAAATTGTTTATCAACCATAGTACTACCTCTAGCTTCCCAGCTTTGGATTAGAATTAGATAACTGGAAAGCAAAACCTAAAAATAGAAATGTATATGAAAAGAATTAATTCTGAAAGATTGGACATCTTTTTGCCATTCTTCCATGTCTTTGGAGAGGAAGTAAAAGGAAATGTTTTATTCTGTGATTTGTAGATTCACTCCTTTCGTCATTTCCACAAAGTCCCGACAGTTCCATTGGTTCTGACACAGAACGAACAATTGAAAACATTCTTCAATTGTGAAATATTCCAAAGTTCATTTTCATGGTTGAAAGTACTAGCAGGGAGTGAAAGAAGGGTATGGGTGGGAGAGGGGAGATGCTTTTAGGCAGCGAGATGTGAAGGACAAGGGGTAGCCCTGTCACAGATGCTGATAGCTTGGCAATGGTTGTACATCATCTTCCCTTCATTGGCTCATAGAGCCCATCTCAGCTGAAATGCAAACGTGCAGAATGGCACATTTATTTTTCATCTTAAATCCTCATAGTTTTAGACTCCTTGTGCATCATTGATTTGTTTCATTCCCCCATGTTCACCACAGATGTGCTGCCACCAGTGCCAGGTCAAGGAGATAAAACAGCTACTATGCTTTCTGATGGAGCCATTTATAGCAGCATTGACTTCACCACCAAAACGACTTATAATAGTTCAAGCCAAATAACACAAGCTACACCATATGCCACCACACAGATCCTACACTCCAACAGCATTCATGAATTGGCTGTTGATCTGCCTGATCCTCAGTGGAAAAGTTCAATTCAGCAGAAAACAGACTTGATTGGATTTGGTTATTCTCTTCCGGATCAAAACAAAGGTAACAATGGTGAGTCAGGTTCTTATTAACTCCCCAGGAGCTAATACCATTTGTGCATGAGTTAGAAACCAGTCATTTGTGCTTTGACTCAGTGATTCATTATCAGGTTTACTACTTTAAAAAAAAAAAATTAAACTGGCATGTGTACAGTACTTTGCCCAACCACCACCACCACCACCACCACCACCACAACCACACATATCACTGAAACCCAGCCTTTCCATGTTTTTAGTTCTTTTTCATGTAATCAGCCACCCATCTGTATTTTCATTAGGACAGGATAGGTTTAAAAAAAAACACCATTTCTCCACTGTCCCACAACATCTGCTTCTAATTTGCTAACTGCATGATCTGCATGGGCTTGTGCTATGAACTAATCACATGGTGCCACTATGACCTTTGCCCTTTAACCCTTAGCCTTACTTTACATCCCTGACTACCGAATGGCTGAGGGATTGTCTAATAGAATGCCACACAACCAGTCACAGGATTTCAGCACTACCAGCTCCCACAACAGCTCAGAAAGGAGTGGCAGTCTCTCAGGTTGGTTCCATTACCTACAGAGAAATGCGTGTTTGTCAGCAGCTTGTAACCTATATTGCTAATCACAGTGAAGACGTTAAGTTGTTTAATATGGTTAGTACCATAACTACATCAACTACAGTTAATACCATGACTGTACCCAGGCATTTATCCTTTCAACTGCTGTGACAATCACATTGTAACTCAGTAACATGCATCATGGTTTGTAAATCCCACACTACCCTCATTTACTCCAAACTGTACAAGATTATCTTTTTTTTTAATGAAAACACTAGATTCTGACTTTAACACTTTTCAATATATGTTGGGTTTGTTTTTTGATACTATTCAAAGGATTTCAATGACCAAGGGATCAAGAGGACATTGTCGTAAGATGCTGTCACAGTCCGCTGGCATGGATCCCAAAGACATCCTTATGGCAAGACTGCTGTGAATTAGATTTCAGGGTTATTACAAGTCCTGTTTCTAGTAATTCCCAAATGGTTCAATTTATTTTTTGTTCACTTCTGTGTTTTAGTTTAAGTTCTTGTGCTCAGCCTCACAAAATGGCTATTTTTTAAATTAAAATTCAATGTCAAGAAATAACTGAAGTACTACTGATTTTATATTAGCAGTCCTCCTTTACTCTTTAAATACAGATGCTTATTCAAATTCATTCCATTTTTTAAATGTTTTATGGGTTTCAAAAACCCTCAAAAATTTCAAAAGACCTGGATTTTTTTTCAGGAAGAGAAAGAAAGTTAATAATATATAAGATTGTGTTTTGTTCTTAAGTATGCCAGGAGAAGAGAGGAACCCAAGTTTGAGCTGCTGGCAAGGCCTCCAGGTCTAAAATTTTGTACTGCAGCTCTGAGAACATGATAAGACAAGATATATAAATTTAGGTCATTCATATAGAGGTGATAATTGAAACCTTCGGAATAGATGATGAGATAACCTAGGAAGAATGTGCAGATAAAGAAAAGATCCAAGGAAGGACAGAATCTTGGGGTATATCCACATTTAACTGGTGACAAGATGACTAGAAATTAGCAAAAGAGAGAGAAGATGCAGAGTGGTTGGAAGAAAACCTCAAACATATTATTATAGGAAGGGAGGGTAGTTGGTGTGGGCCCCTCCACAGACTGGAGACTCTAGGAGGAAATAACTAACAGGAAAAGAGGAGCAAGCCTCATGGAGTGATACAACAAGGTGAGCAGGTAACATAGATAGTAAGCTCTTCCACAGTGAAAAAAAAAACCTCCAAACTTGGGGGGAAGTTCCAGGATATAGAAGGGCATGATTTTGAAGTTCAGAGAAAGTCAAGAACAAGTCTGGGAAGGAAATGAAAGAAGCCAGAGGAATAGAGTGTATTAAAAAAAAAACATAGTGATCCTCAGTATAAAATCTCATAGAGAGGTCAAAGAAAATGATCAACAGTAACAACCAAAAGTATTTTAAATTAGGGTTGAGATCATTAGTGGACTTAAAAGAAGCTATTTCATTGAATGCTGGGTACTGAAACTATATCACAAGGATTTAACATTGTGAGGATATGAAGGCACTAAACATGTTACTAGTTTTAGATGTTTTGGCAGTAAAGGAGAGAAAAATTACACTATCTTCAGGGAGAACAAAATCACAGAAGAGATGGAAGAGAAGATAATTCAACATACAGGTACAGGAGTTATTTTCAGTAAAGGATGCTGACCACTTCTTCCTTTTCTGTAAGAAGAAAGATGGAGCCAAAACAGAGGCTTAGGGAATCATGAGAGGGAGGGAATTAGAGGAACATTCCCAGGTCAGCTTGCAAAAATTACATCTATTCAGCCAATCAATAAGTTTCTGTTAAAGGCCTAATGTATACCCCTATGAAATGATCCTAACAATAGCAACTAGGATATTCACAGATTTCAAGTGCCAGGAGGAATTAAAACATATTGATGAGATCTTTTAGGGAGAAAAGTAGAGATCATGCTATAGGGATCAGTGAGGAATTTGAGGCATCTTTCTGGTTTGACCTCCTCACAAGCATCAAAAAGCCAGAAGGATTTTAGAAAAATGAACACTGTTAGGCTTGTAGTGGCCAACTATTTATTAGGGGTCATGTGGCTTCTGGTGTCTTCAGCATCTCATTGATAGCCTATGAGGCAGCTGGTCATATAGCAGACTTGTATTCTGAATGAGAGTGCTGGGTGTAGGGAGTTTATACTGGATTTTATTTATTGGGGAGAATATGTGGGTTTCTCAGCAAGTTCGCCAGGTAGCAGAAGTAACAAAGGTGTTCGAGGAGCCAGGTATGGGAATATGGTTTTATTAAGAACATGTTTGGACAAGAATATGTTTGAGAAAAAATACCATGTTATGTTTTGCACTAAGCTTTGCTTAACTTGCATAATATGTTGCTTCAGGGCACTCAGGAGGCAAATATAGGTGGCCTCACAATGTTGAGTCAGTCTTGCTCAGGCGTGATAGCTCAGCCTATACAATCCATCCCCTTAACACCTGAGAGTACTTCAAATTATTTGATTGAGATGATTCTGTAGATTTCCTTCCAGATCAATAGTCTTTATCAATCTAATGTTATTACTAATAAGGTTAGCTAGAGCCAAGGTCTATCTAGTAGAAAACGTCAAAAAAGTTTCATTCTGATGCACCTTAGAGAGCTAGGTGACCTCTTCTCTAATTTAGTCTATTAATTGCTCTACCTATCCATTAGTGTTAATCCAATGATAGCCCAAGGTATTGATGAGGGCACACACTTTGCCTTGGTTAGCCAAGAGATAGTTAAGCATTAGCCAGTTGACAAGGACTTTGGAGGCTAATGAGTTGCAATTTACTGGTCAATGGCCTCTGCTGTCACATTAGCAATGATTTCAAGAGTGTCTTACAGGTTACATAGAAAGTGAAACACCTAAGCCTCTGGGAAGAACTCTAGCGGGCCTGTTTACCAAGTATTAGGCGTGCTTTAGGAGAGTCTCCTTTTTACTCTTTGTAATCTTATAGACTCAAGGTCAAGAACAGTATGCACCAAAAAAGTGTGACACACTTTTATCCCGATAGGATATTGGGGCAGGGAAAGCCCTGTTCCCACAATGCTGACCTGGAGGGCGCTTCTATTACCACATTGTACACAGGTTAAGTTCTAATCTGACATGGTGCAAGACTCAAGATTTCTCAAATTCCCGGTGTCCATAATGCTCATTCAAGACGTGAATTAGATAAAACTATACACCCACATGATAATGATTCCTAGATCTGATGAGATCTTTCAGTCAATAGTTATAACAGTTTTCTGGGAGCAATATGGGGTGGCGATCATAATCTAGTTAGGGAATATATAGGACCCCATGAATCAAAGTTGTTCCTTCAAGCAAGCCCTTCACTTTCACGGTGTTTGCAGGGATACGTAGACTTTCCTTTCAGGAGTTCCCTGCCCTGGGTGTCGCACCCAGCAACAAGTCTAGTTCTCTGATTTAGTAGTTTCCATAAACTTATGAAGACCGTTATCCAAATGTAGTCTGATTTGTATTAGTCTGGAAAATAGGGCTAGAAGAGTTGCAAGGCACCAGCAAGTCATGATACTGAATTGGCCACATAGCAGTTGCAATGATTATTGCTGTTAATAGCAGGGTCAGAGTCCAGAAGGCTGGTTTATCATGTGATAAACATTACATGATATTCATGATAATCATATAACAAAGTAAGTCAGTTATTCTTCCCGTTTTATGTGTGTTCCCCCCATTTAGTCTGGTTCAGATATGTTCTTTAACAACTGCATGTCCATTTTCCAATATCTAGACAGCGTCCCCACTGCCTGCAGCTATGATGTCTATTGGGACCTACTTTTCAGCCCCTGGTCTACTTTTGGTATCAAAACTTCTATTCCAAATAACCCCTTGAGATATGAAAGGTTGGTTTAGTGGGTATCAGTTATGTGCAATCCAATACCTTTCCTGGCGTAGCTTTCTCATTTTCTAGTACATAATGACATAAGAAAACACAATAACTTGTTTCTGTCTCCAGCTAGTGATAAAGACGAGTTGGTTATCAGGGGGCATGTGGGCATTGAGGGTCATGTCAGCCTCATATTGACTACTTGAGAGGGTGAATAAGTATGAGTATACAAGTCATCCACCCCTTGAACAGGGCTTCAGGGGAAAAATGAAAGGATCAATAATTGTTAGATTTTGCATCTTTGTTTGCATTATGATCTCTATCTCTACTCCTTGGTAAGTTGTGCCCCATTAGTTGGTCCAGCAAATATTGTTCTTTTCTTAGAAAAGCAGAGTTCAGGTGAAAACAATTTAGGGAAGGGGGTCAGCTCATCCATGCCAAGGAAGTGAAAGGCTAACTTAAGTTATCTTCATCTTCCAGTGAAGTTAGGACCTTGTGGGTAATAGGTACATGTAGATACCATATGTTACCTTGATCTTGCCCATTCTTGGATTAATTTTATAGAAATAGTGTTCTATTACCAGGAGAGA